AGCATGTATAAAAATGATGGCAGTGCGGATCACAGTCTTGGTTCCAGTTCTAGAGGTGTACATATGGCAAAGCCTTGTTGACCCAAGCTCAGCCCATTTAAAGAAAACAACGATGCTCTGGATTTCATCAAACGTTTGTTTCTGCTATTTATAAAATGTAGAAGAAGAAAGGGTATTGGGAAGAAGTCATAGACTAGAAATATTTACAAATCACAAATTTGAACACTTGTATCTAAAATATAAAAAACTCTCAAGTCAGTAGGAAAATTAGCAACCCTGTGAGTGGATAAAACGTTTTAACAGACACTTGACTAAAGAAGATGTGTAGATAACACATGACTATGGATGGTTGGAGTCAGTGGTGATGGAAGTATTAGTTAAACACAGTTCCCTTCTCTGCCCTCTGGTAGGATCTGTTTAAAAGCCAGACAGGAGCAAAGCCAGCTCTGTGCAGACAGCACCTACCGCTGGGTACATGCCAAAAGGTGAAGCTGGTTTAGAAAAACAGTTTGGCAATTAAAAAGTTAAAAAGAAACTTGTCATGTGATCCAGCCACTCCACCCCTAGGTTTCTGCTAGAGAATATTTAAAACATTTCTCCACATGAAAACTGCTCCTGAGTATTCATAGCTGCATTGTTCATAATAGTCAGAGTGGAAACAGCCCATATAATTGTAATTTGACAGTTGGGTAGAAAATTCAGCCTATCAGAGGAATGAAAAGAAATACTATGAAAAGAGAAGTACAGGGAAAGAGTGCTAATACTTGTATAACTTGGATGAGCCTGGAAGCATGCATGAAAAGACATCAACTCCCAAAGGCCACATGTTTACACAAAATGTCCAAAAGGAGTAAACTATGGTGATAGTACATTTATGTAGTCTAAAGCCAAGGGCAGGACTGGGAAACAACTTCATCTGAACAGAAAGTAGCATTTGAGGATGATGACAATATTCTAAATTTGAATTGTGATGACATTTAGGCAAATCTGTGAATTTATTTTAAAATTTTTGAGTACATAACAGTTGAATTTTATCACATGTATATTATACCTCATTAGTGATATCAGAATGGTATATAGTGATCAAAACAGCATACTGTTGGCCAAAGAACAGATGGCTACATCAATAGGACAGAGCAGGGCCAAAAGATAGATCCATTCAACTGAGTCAACAAAGTATTGACTTAGGAGCAAAGGCAGCTCACTAGAGAAAGGGTAGTGGTAGTCTTCAACAAACAATGTTAGACTACTGAAGAGTTATATGCAGAAAAAGAAAAGCTAAAAACCTAGTTATAGACTTCTCAAGCATGTCAGAATAGATCATAAGCATTGAAGTAAGCTGCAATGCTATGAAACTTCTAGAAGATAACACAGGAGAAAACTTGGTGATTTTGTGTTTACCAATGGGGTTTAGCTACAATATATAAAATGCAATCCATGAAAGAAAAAGTTGATAAAATTAGAATTTATCACAGTTAATGTTCTGTGAAAGATGCCAGTAAAGGAGGGTAAATAGAAGTGATCGTCTTAGAGGGCTGGGGTGAGGCTCAAGAAAGGAAAGTGCTGGCTGCGCAAGCATGCAGAGCCAAGTTCTGAGCCTTAGCCCCAAAGAAAAGCCGGGCAAGAGCTTACAGTTTCAGGGAACTTGAGATAGGAGGCTCCCTGGGACTTGCTGGCCTGCCATCTATCCGAATTGGCCGGCTCTAGGGCCAGGGAAAAACACTTCTTCAAAAGGTGATGTGCCTTGACAGAAAAAGAACCCTGATTTTGAACTCTGCCCCCCCGACACACCCATGCTCACCTAGGCACAGATGTACATATCTGTGAATATACTCTATAGAATCCATAGATTTTTTTGAAAGTATTTGCAAAATAAATATTTATAATAAAGGGTTTCCATTTAAAAGATACAGAGAATACTTAAAACTCAACACTAAAATACCCCAAATACACCCTGAATACCCCAAATGAAAAAAAGCAAAAAATAAAAATAAAAATAAACAAAAAATCAGGTAGCACTTCAAATAAGGCATACAGGTAGCAAATAAGCATGAAAAGTACTTGACACAAGTCATCAGGGAAGTGCAGATAAATAGAAGAGTGAGCTAGCACTGTGTACCTGCCAGCCTGGCTAACTCCAGCCAGCAACACCAGTGCTGGGCACAAAGAGAGCAGCAGAAACTCACTCAGCCCTGCTGGTGCACAGAGCAGTACGGCCACCTTGAAAACAGCCAGACCCTTGATCCTAGCCAGTCACAGGCGAGAAGCAGTGTGGGGCGCTTTCTTCCACGACTGTAACTTCAACATCGTCTTGCATGTGATCTAGAAGTTGCACATCTTGCTAGTTACTAAATTGAATTGAATTTTGTGTCCACAAAAAATCCAACAAGTTCATGTTTATAACTTCTCCAGTAGTCAAAACTAAGCAATCAAGCAAACTATTTCAATAGATAGGTAAGTGGAGTGTTAGTTAGCAAGAGAAAGAAGTGAGCTAGTAGGCCATCAAAAGACATGGAGGGACCTTCAGTGTGCACTGCTACTCTAGAGAGGCCAGGCTCTAAAAGCTGCGGACTGTATGACTCTAGATGATGTTCTGGATAAAGCCAAACCTCAGAGACAGGATGCTTAGTGGTTTCCAGGAGGGCTGGGATAAATAGGTGGGCACTGGACATCTTTAGGGTGGTGAGTGTGCACCGTGTCATATGACAATAGCAGATACATGACATTATACATTTGTCACAATTCATGGAATGCATAAGTTAAAGAGTAAGCCCTAACTCAGCTATGGACTTTTGTTAATGAAAAAGCAAGACACAAGCCAACCCTGTCATCATGAAGTACCCGGGATGCGTCGTTTATCATAGTCCAACCTTACCTCAATAAGGCTTTTGATTTGTTTAGATTTGCTCACTTTATTTTATTTCATTTTATGTTATGCGTATGGGTGTTTTGCCTGCATGTATGTCTGTACACCATATGCATGTATATCTGTGCGCCAGGTGCCCACCAAGGGTATCGGATAATCTGAGGTGGTTGTGAGCTGCCATGTGGGTGCTGGGAGCTGAACCTGGGTCCTCTGGAAGAGCAGCCAGTGCTCTTAATACTGAACCATCCTTCCAGCCCCTCAGTAAAACATCTGAAAACTAACAGAGGCTCTGGCAAGGCAGACCTCTGACCTCTGAGCTCCCAGGGTGCTTTGCTGACTGCTGGCTCCCTGTGAAGCTCTACATAGAAGTGGCCCTACAGCCTAAGGCATTTATGATGTTCGCTGAGAGTACTTTGGATGAAGCCATTTCTCAAGAAGGTACCTCTAAAGTTTCAGCTTTTTTTTTTTTTTTCTGTGCTTGGTGTGTCTGCTCCCGTCTCTGGAGTAGAGTCCACTGTGAATATTAGCACCTAGCATGACGTATGTCAGCTGGGAGACTAAAGACCCATTAACTGTCTGGTTTGGGGCAAATCACTTTCTTTATCACGATAAGTCTCCACTTCTTCAGCTGTAAAGGGGAATTGATCTTTCTAGCCACTTCCACTTCCGACTCTCAGACTTTTAAATGAGCTGGACCATGAATCATGTCATAGAGCACTTGAGGCAGCAGAAATCCTATTGTGAAAATTCTGTCACACCATTCCCCACTGTGTCTTCTCCTTCTGCCTTTTGCTGGGTAGAAACTGAGTCTGATTTCTCTAGGCCAGTTGAAGGTTGGTCAGCCTTTCGTGATTTAGTACATCTCAGCCCTGAACTCTACCCTGGCAAAGAGTTGTTTGTCTCATCTATGAGAAAAATGCCTCCAGACGCTGTTCTGGGGTTTCTCTGGTTCAGAACTAAGAAATGACCATGTGTTCTAATGGCTCCTAAGTTCAATCAAATGTTGGTGTGCATGTGGTAAGATTTCTGTAGTGTCTAACTCCCTCAGCATTGAACATTTATTCCAAGGTGTGCCCCAGTGACTTAAAGACCTTCCTCTAGCTGCCGCCTTTTAAAAGACTTCACATCTTCCCAAGAAGCACCCTGGGGCGAGGGTAGGGAACAGGGTCAAGCCTTTAACATAAAGGCATTAAGGGACAGTAAGATCTAAACTAGAGCTGCCATATTTGCTTGTTATTAAAAATTGTTGGAGAGCTTTGGGCATAGTTGAGTGAGAGTCTTTGTATTAAATCAGGACCATCCTGGGTCAGGGTCAGTAGGAGATAAGACCTTTAGTTGACTGCTAGAACCACAAGGGAGCTGCTGGTATACTTCTAGTCTAATCTGAAGACCTGGGAACCCAAAGACCCCATGGCATAGGTTTCAGTCTGAGAGTCAGCAGGCCCTAGGCCAAGAGCAGCCAGTGCTTCAATTCAGTCAGGAAAAGACCAAGCTTTTCTTTCTCCCAGCTGTTGTTCTCTTCTAGTCAGGTGACTAGATGAGGCCTTAGGGAAGGCAACCTGCTTACTCAATTTGCAGCAATTTGATTTACTCAAAGTGTAAATCACATCCAGAAACCTCCTATAGACACACTTAGAATGTTTGTCCAAATGACCTAGCACCTCATTGCCTGTTCATGCTGATGTATAAACATGACCACTATATTCTTCAGGACTGAAAGAGCTCGTGGTGATGGGCCCTTTCAAGTTTACACTGAATATCAAGGTGAAGCAGACTGCATGTGTTATGAGTGGTCCCTTTCTTTTGCCACTTTAGATGTTCCTTCTGAGCTTCATTTTGATGTTCCATTTTCTCTTTGAAAGAGAAGGCAGTCAGGGTGTGGTATCCCACGCCTTTAATTGAGAAGCAGAGAGAGGGGCAAAGTAGATCTCTGTGAGTTCAAAACCAGCTTGGTCTACTTAGGGAGTTCCAGACCAGCCATTATTACATAGTGAGACCCTGTCTCATTAAAGGAGGACAGGGTTGGAAGATCCACTTCTCTGATAGGACTATGTCATGGCCCTCTAGAGTGATACTTAAAAGCAAGTCCCATGAAAACCAACTTATTCAGTTTCTGTGTTTGCTTTACTCTTAGGACTTTGTTTAGAGAAGCTGCCTATTTCATCCTCTACCAGTGATCTCCATGTGGACCGGGAGCAGGATGTCATCACGTGTTATGAGAAAGCTGGGGACATTGCACTCTTGTACCTCCAGGAGATAGAAAGGGTAAGTAAGAACATGCGTTTATTCCAGCTGGTACTACCCCCCTCCCCAACACACACACACAAATTGGATTGTGGGCCGTTGTATTCTACCACTGGAAAACCTTTGACTTGTCTGCCCCTGGGCACAAACTCTGCTTGCATCCCCGAATGTTATGGAGAAAATAGTCATTAGGTGTGGTATTTATGAAAAGAAGTGGGTCAATGGATATGTACAGACAGGACAGTATGCAGTGTCCATACCTTTGGCACACTGAAATTGGCCAGTCACTCTTCATACCAGTAGGTTTGGGCAACTTAATTTACCTTGATAGTATGGCAGAGATCTGCTGGGGGCTTAACTAGTATGTTTTGAGCAGGTTGTGTGTTTCCTGAGACTGTCTGTAGAGGCCCCAGCAGTCAAGTGTTTAGTCTGTGTTGGGGTAAGGAAAAGTGACAACTGACAAGAATGTCATGGAAGCAAGAGACTGAGTGAGCAAAGTTGGCTGAAGGCTCAGTGGGGTCAAGATTGGAGTCAGGGATGGGGCCAGGAATGGGGCTAGGGATGAAGTCAGGGATGGGGCCAAGGATGAGGTCAGAGATATAGTCATGGATGGGTGGGCATCTTACTTGTTCAGAACAATGTCCGTCTTTCCAGCCTACTCTTTGCAAAGTTCCTTCACAGCTCAGCCTCAGTTTTGCCCATTAATAAAAAGCTCATAAAAGTAGTCCTATCTCATGAACTTCTTGCAAAAATTCTGTAAGGTCATGTGGCTAAAGACACTTACTCTAGATATGGGAACATTTAGATTCTTGGTATCACTGATTTATAATGACAGTAACTCCTAAGTTTCTTCTGTAGCAGTTTCCCAGGGGGTAACCAAAAATTGTCTGTTATCTTAACCTTCTCAAGTCCAGATACGTACCTGTGGGATTGTTTGAAATCATAACCAATCTTGTAAGACTTGGACATGATCAGAAGATGTGCTTTCCCTGAATTGTCTAGGCCTTGATTTTCCATAATGATTAGAAGACAAAGAAGGACTACCTAAGCCTTGCTAGCTCTTGTGGGTTTTTTGTTTTGTTTTGGGTTTTGGTTTTTGGTTTTGTGTGTTGGTGGCCGTAGGGAGAGTCAGAATTGTCCTTGACAAGAAAAGCAGAATGAGAATTGCAGAAACTGAAGAATGGATGGGAACTGTGGAGAATCATTTGACCTGGCCTTAATTAGCTATGTCTATAGGACACAATGTTTGAGAGTTCTGGTTGATATCTGGCCCTCTGGCCGGTATGCTCTTCGTTCAGAAGGTTCCATGAGGAGTGAATTCTGTTGTGTCATTGTTCAGCGTTACTATAGTGATTGTCAGGGAAATGATCATGCATGCTGAGTTTGAAATCTGTGCCACTCCCCCACCCAGCCTGTGGCTGTGTTGCAATTAGTTCATCCTAGCTAAGCTTTGCTTTTGACCACACAGCTCACCCAGAGACCGTTACTTCTCAGTTTACTATTGTCCACTTTGGAGCTGCCCTTCCCTGTCACATGTCGCAGATGGGATCTACAGCCTGTTGTGTTCATTCCTAACTCCCCAGGTCCTGTTGAGTTCTTCAGCTGGACATCAAGGAAATTCATATAATCATGGAATTCAAGAAAGACCTCCCTTCCTCCTTTCTCCCCTGTTTCCTTCCCTTTTTGGTATTAAGGATATAGTGATCATAGGAGTTATATTTTGAAAAGAAAATTAAGGCCCAGGACAACCAGGAAGTTTGGTCAATACTGAATTAGAAATTAACTCTCTCCTGACACCTAGTTCAGTGCTCCTGCAGTTCAGTCTTCAGGCCACTGCATGGTTGCACTGAATTGTCACCCTTCTACCAGCCATACACTCTGTCCTGTGGACAGCACTTCACAAGTACTGGACTATGAAAACCTTCTCCAGAGTGCAATTAAATCTCATCCTTTCTGCATGAATCTGGCTGACTTTTCAGTATGTTTTCTTCATGGAAACTTTGCTGCAAGGAGAGAGGTGAATGAGCCAAACATCGGTTTTGGCTGTTGGTAGGTACTCAAGACATTTTATGTTGGTCAGTCTAGAAACTAGGAAAACTTGGCTTAGTGGAGGTTCAGGGATTGATAGAACTTATTTGTTTTTAAATTTTGATCTCAGTTGACTTGATTTTGAGCTTTTAAATTATGCTGAAGTAGGAGTAAAACTCCTAACAAGTCTGGGACAAATAATGCCTTGCCTTTGAGCTGTCCTATGAAGAAAATCTGATGTGCTTTTGCCTTGTACAATGTTTTCCCCTGCTTTCCTGCCACACTGAAATAAGGAGGCTGCTGTTTGCCTGGATTGATTAGCATTTTATTTATGACCATTGGCTCTTAAGTTTGTTCATTTGCAAAAATAAAATTTTGGGGAACTCTTGAGGTAGTTTACTAATGTTTTCTCAAATTTGAGGCCCTGCCATTCTCTGAATCTGCCTGTGGTCTTTTTGTTCACCCATGGAGTTGCAGTGTAGAAGGGCAGTGAGGGACCTTTCAGAAGGGGGCTAACCTCACCCTTCTGCGTGAGTCTGCTAGCTTAAGCCATGAGAGGCAGCAGGAAGGACAGTGAGGTGGAGCTAGAGTCCTATTTAAGGCACCACTTAGCTGTGAAACTGTATGGCATGTCACTTAGCCTCTCTGTGTTCAGGAGCCTCATCCACAAGTAGCTGCAATAGCTGCCGTCTAGTTACCCGTGATGAGCAGCCAGCTCACTATTTCCCAGTACATGTTAGCACACAGCAAATGTCAGCTTAGTGTTCAGTACGACCTTTAAATTTCCAGGTGTTTAGATGAAAATCTGCACTATCACAAGAACCTTGTCTTATTAGGAATGCAAAGACAAGTGCACAAAGGGTCCTTTCAGGGTCATGTGATTGCCCTGTCTGAACTGAAACCTGCTCTTTCTGTTTCTAGGTTCTGACTTTGTTCTTTACACCCAGATGGACTTTGGCCCGCTCATTTATTTTTCATGCTTCAGTTTTCTGTTTTCATTGCAGAACTAATGGGACTTGAGTTGTCTAATTTCAAAGGCCTAGAGCTCCAGGATGGTGGTATGCCAGGTAGCATGCTGGGGGCTGGCTCTGGCTCATTCTCCTTGTTCCAACTGTGGAGGTAGGTTCAAGGGAGATGAATCAATGAAAACTGTGTAGGGTTGTCCTTGTTAAGTTAGGGTCATAGAGACATGGACTAATGTTGTTCTAGTAGTTTGTTTTCTGAAAGAGACTAAAACATAGCAAATACTGCATGTGTAAGATAATTTGATCACACAAATCAAATCTGAGCAGATAGCAGTAACAGTGGTGCACGGTGTCTTTGATTAGTTTATATTCAGAGAGTGGCAGCATGCCAACGGTAAATAAAAGTTTTCTGCCCTGTAAGGTAGTTGTGGTGATACAGTGATATGGATAAAGATGACTTCATCCTTCCTGTCATAACCTGAGCCCTGTTTTTGGCACATGAAGTCATTCTATCTCCGGGCTTTGCATAGACTGCCTGGCCAGCTGCTGGTGACATTCTAGAGTAGGAGCAGGGCCAGGGTGGAACTCTACCTTCTGCTGACAGTTTATTTCTTCACACCCAATTTTGGAAAAGATGCTAAAGCTAAACTGCAGGGCATCTGTAACTATTTATGGGACATTTTAGTGCTAAAGTTCCAAGAAGAAGCACCAGGTCCCCAAGTATTGCAGAGCCCAACCTGGAGTCCTCCTTCTCAATGAGCAGCTCAAGAGACCAGAGGTCACGACTTGAGCTTATGATGTCTGCCACGCAAGGGAACCTGAGTGGCACAGCTGAGTGACGGAGCCAGAGCTGGGTCAGATTAAGGTCAATGTGTGTCATGAATTCAAGCTAGATGCTGCTGAGAGAGGCAGAGCTGGAGTTGAGGGACCACGCTACTGCACTCATGCTTTCAAGTGTGAGACAGTCAAGAGAGAATGACCTCCTTGCTTTCAGTTTCCACCACTCTACTCCAGAGCACAGGCCAATATTTGAACACAGAAATGTCCAGAGATGGGCTGGCTAGCCTCTTTAGTAGCTCTGATTTTGAGCCTGACATCTAGCTTTCTGGACCTGAATTCTACATTGCTCTTAGAACTCTAGAAAAGTCTAGTAGCCAGAGAGCAGCAGCCACTCATGCTCATTTTTTTGTATTGTTGTAATGCCTTTGCTCTTAAAACAGTAAAGCATTTTCCATCTATCTTATTTTTATTTTATATTAAATTTTACATTATTTTCATGGTTATATATTATTTCAAGTGATACCTTATTATTGGATCTAACTTGGCAACTTCCTTCAGGCAGCTTTTCCCTTCCTTTATTTCTATTACTTCTTAGGGGCAAACTGCCCAGAAGTGGGGATATTTGACCACTCTTGCTATCATGTACTGGGGCCATTAGCAAATATTCAGCTTTGGCAGTTCAGGAGACTAAGTGTTGATTTGCATCTTGGCAAATTGTTACAAAATTATTTCTAGGTGAACATAATGTCTTGCATGTGTTGTTTAATATTTTTCAATTATTGAATAATATTATTCAATATAAATAATAATATATATAAATATAAAAATATATAATATAAATATAAATAATAATATTTTTCAATTATGAATGGGACATTTCCCCCCATATTTGCTTAATAGTTGTTATTTTAAAGAATAGCATCAGTGAGATAGGCCAGTGAGACAGTTCAGTGGGAAAAGGCAGTTGCTGCGAAGCCAGAAAACCTGAGTTCAATCACGAGGATTCACATGCTAGGAGAGAATTATCCTCTAACTTTCACACTTGCTCTGCAGTAGTGCAACCTCCCTCCACACAGTAAGTGATAAATGTAATAATTTTAAAAGATGGGGTTACTGAGGTATGATCCATTTAAATTGTATAAATCTGTGCATCTTTTGTATTCATCTGTTTGCTTATTTATGTAGTGAGAGAGGATATCACCTGAGCTCAAGTCATCCTGCTACCCCAGCTTCTGTAGTCCCAGCTGG